GGAAGGTTGAGCCAAGAGTCAACAATCTATTCGAGGAATAAACTAAGGATTTATGCACACATATATATACAAACAGGCTCTCACCTCTTAATTTGAGACATTTTTTGGTAGACTTAATAGTATACTAGTACTAAGTTTATAGTCCAAAAATAGTACTTGTGTGTAATTTTATTAAAGGGAGAAAGAAAATAAAAGCAACCAACGAAATAGACAGAGGTTCTAATAAAGTTCCTAGGTTAAGAGAATATATAGATATAGCTTAATGTGTATACATACATATTTAATTGGTGATTCTTTTTTATAATTTTTTATGGGAGATAGTGGAAACTTAATGGAATTGTTTGGATAAAAAGGAGTGAAATAATATTTAAACGTGTAGTGTGAATTAGGTAAATTTCCATTATCAATAATATTTCCTTTTTTAACATGTCCGTACATATTTACAATTTATTTATTTCCGTCTGTTTTCAGATGTCATGTGGAAATAGTGAATAGGCGCATCACAGGACTGTGTTTCTCTGACAAAAACCTATTTGCTTTATATGCTGCTTTTCTTAATTTAGTATTCCTTTATAGGTGATAAAAAAGTTAAAAATAATATGGGACCTTATGGTCATAGGAAGAAATTATATATATTAGATCTGTACAAAAGATATTTACCCAAAAAAGTAAGAGAATAAATATTGAACAAAATATGGGATTGAACAAAATACATAGTACAAATAGTCCGTCTATGGCTTTCTGTAAAACCACAAATGAATAAATATTTTGTGCCAATGAAAAGTATTAAATAATTTATTGAGTACACGTGTCAGACAGGAACTTGGAGTTGCCGAGATTCACCATATCAATTGTTCTGTCGTAAGTTTCTAAATATGGCAAGATATTTAATATCATCACATAACTAACATTTGTTAGTTTCGACGCCTTCACGCTTAATTTGTAATCAAAGCTACACTTCTAAGTTAGACACATACAGAAATATCAATATCTAATATTGATTCCTTGCAAACGTTTATTTTTATATTTAAAAATCCTTTAATTGAATATGATAAAATTTAAATATAACATGTTGAAAAAAAAAATTAAATAATTAACACACATTTATATAGTTTAGAAATCGCAAAATTACTTCTAAGACTTGGTAATTCATTCTTCAGAATGATTTCCGATAGGTTTTATTGATTATAACCCTTGGATTTTAACTAAAATAAAAATAGCTGTACAAAAAAAATGAGATATATATATGCCATAACATTTTTTATACAAAATTTATAGATAATTTTTATTTAAAATAAAGCGAGATACACTTTTTTTCTTTTTTATGAAAACGCGAGATACACTCTTTGTTGTGAGGTTATTTCATAAAAAATACTAAAATGTTATATTTCCTAGTATCTCAGTTAACTGGTTCATATATGGGTGAGCTCATCAATCAACAATTTATGTACTCCATCTTTCATGTCAATACCGACAAACTCGATTTATGGAATTTTGATCTACCGTATGTTGCAACACACTTTATGAACTAATTTCCAAAATCATTGTGAATTTAACATGTTGAAGCCAATTACCTGAGCTAATTATGTCAAACCAAACAACTTTTGTCATGATATCATGCTCATAGAAAGTTGTATCCTTGTAGCAAAATTCATCCAAGTCTACCACAAATTTTTTAAATCAAACGTATCATGCTGAAAATTAACTATAAATTTATAATATCAAAATGACTGTAATTTTTTATAATTTTGTTTTTGCCTTGAAAAAACATGACTTTTAGTTTTAAACGCATACAGTACAAGAAAATGTTTTAGAACAATGAGTTTTACATGAGATTCATTCACGGTTTTCTTTTCTTTGGTATAACACAATCTATACACTTACTTAAGATATAAAAATAACTTAAGAATTGAACAAAATTTCTACAACCATATAGGCAAAGATTTTACTGTCCACATTCGTGAATCACATATATCTTATCAATTTTCAGTTGATTTACCAAAGAATTGGACAAGTTAATATCAATGTTGTATCGATGACATGAGCTTCAAACTTTCCACATATATGTATGGTATATCACTAATGGCTGTGCACTCAGAAGGCTAGGTTTCAA